AGTGTAAACTACTTGTACCTGATGATGACAAAACCTTGTCGAAACGTTGTACATTTGTTTTTCTTCATTACCCATTCAACCCGTCTCCAAGCATTATTAGTCTCAAAGTGGGTTCCTCGTCATCAACTTAGTTGATATTTCTTTTCCTCAAGAGAAGAATATCCAAAATGACACCATGAAGTCTCTCTCTTGGATGATTCACTGAGTAGATTCATAAAACAAGTAATATAACTTTTTTTTTATCACTGGGATGCTATTGCTAGTCTAGCTACTGTCTTCAATCGGACAGTTCCATCCACATTAAGCTGGTGGCTATTGGACTTGCTATGGTCAATATTATTACAATATTCTGTCATCTTATCTTCATCAAAAAAGAACCAGGAAAGCGTTAATGTTCTCAGTGCTATAGAATTCGACAAACAATTACAATGTTTTCAGGTCCATCTGATTACTAATCCCCCTCTTTGCTGACGTTTAGTTTAAGCATTTGATGAGCACCTCCTGATGTGGATTTGAGTTTGGCAATGCGCTAAACATTGTATACATGCGCATTACATATCGCAGTTCCAAACATTGAATTGTTCGACAATGAATATCCCCCTGTGGGACAGCGGTAAGTCTTCGGAGTTACAACACTAAAGTCAGGCGTTCGATTCCTCTCAGCAGATGCAGCAGCTAGCCCCACGTAACTTTGCTATAAGATAACACAGACACTCGTCAATGAAATAAATACTACTTTCTTAGACTTGAGAAGTTGCCACACCACTGCTGTTTACCACAGCCATACACGATCTCTGCATTCAAACTTACATTTTCATTTTCTCATCATCTCGTCATAAGTACTCTTCTTCCATAACACGTGCTTACCCTTCTGTCAGTTGCCTACTCATATGTGTAAACCATGGTTGTCTACAGACAACCCTTTATAGTAGGTACTGTAGCATATTTAAACCGGTTCATGAGCCGTACATATAATAAACTAGGAACATCACGCCCCATCTGAACATCGAGAAGTTCAGTCTGGTTGTTTGGTAACTTTATAAACCATCATCTTTTATATATATATATTTATGGAGCCAACACCACTGGAAGGAGACGCTTCTTCTTCCATAAATTCATCTGTCATCATGAATGATAGTTCATGAAAGTATAGCCCTTTAGATAATGTAAGTTGTACCATCTTTCCTAGTCTACATTAGCCTAGCATTCTACTTTCACGCTGAATAACCTTTACTATTGGAATGATACTTGGCCAGACAAACAAAGTATGATTAGTCTTCACCAACAGGATTGGCTACTCTGTTTGGCAATGACATTTCTCTGCAACTTGTCCTTTAGGCCAGTACTCCACCTGAAATACTGGCAATACATTGAATCTACTGTCCTGAGATTCTGTACATTGACAACGTATATGCTAAAATATCTCCCATATTACCCCGTGATTTACCAGTTTCGTTTATCTCGGATAAACTCCTATCATATCATTAACTCATATCAGCACTAGCGTGTCAATTTTTTCATTCTATAGCAATTGGCTTGGTTCTACAGAAAGTAGGAACTTGCATGAATGCTATAATTTTGGAAACATTTCTTTAAGAGGGGTTATCCCTTAAATAGCTGGAGACTATTACCATCAACTGGAGGGCTTCTTACGGTTCATACTGTCTCCTCCGGACTTCATGGATTTCCCGAGTTTGTATATTCCAATGATACACAGACATGAAGGCTTAAAAGTATGTGTTCTAAAAGCTAACACTTTTCAATTCAAGTCCTCTCATGGCATCAGAATTTCTTTTTGCCTGGTTTCTTTGGTAATTCGACAGATGTAAATAACTGAAGGTTCGTGAATTTCGTCAATTAGTTTATATGTTGTTGGATGCTTACAAGCCAACTATATGGGCATCAAATTTCACAAAGAAATATTCACACTTTTTTGACACTCTGTGTGCAAGTTGGCCCTTGTGGTAGAGCTCTAAATTGTAGAACCTGCGAACCGGGTTCAAATCCGTGCGATAAAACAAAATTTTCCCGCTCTTTAATCTGTGGTTGCGTTAAAGGGGTGACAGTCATTCTCTTAGCGTGGACAATGAGTACTAAGGTATTGCTGACTGTATTCTTTTCACCTGGTCGGTAATTCAAAATTAGGAATTGCGGAAGATAACCTTATTAACTTTGCCATAATTACGAAATACAAATTGCTTATATTAACCAAGAGAATGAAATACAAATCGTTAACTAAATAAAAATCTGTCAAACGGAAAAACAAATTAAGTAAAATAAAATGGGATGAGATGTGGCTGAATTCAACTTCACAAAATGCACTTATAAATATAACACTTCAAAGTTAGCTTGAAGGTTATATCAGAACTTTGAAGTCCGAGCTCGATCTGATATCATGTTCTCAACTGACCGACAAGTCTCATTACCTCTATTAGTTGACTCAATCACAAAATCAGTAAAACTCGGTAGAAAAACTGTCTCTTCTCATGTAACCCACAGTTTGGTTATCTCAAAAGGTCAACTTGGGGTCATCAAAACTACCGCACCAGTGAAAAGGCTGGTCTAACTTGGCAACAACTAGCAGGTGTGACACAGCTAGGATCGCGTTTGTGTGTGGCAATGATGGACGTTTCGAATACAAAACAAATCATAAAAGGTTGTATTTTTCAGCAAGAATACGTTTCATATAACAACTTCAATTAAATTGTTGTCAGACAAAACACGCACACAAATGATTAAAACTCAAAACGGATATCGGTCTTTCAGACAGGAAGATATCAATGATGAACTGGCCAAAAATTTTGAAAAAAGTTCGTGTTTTCATTTCCCTTACGAGTTTTCGTTTGAAGTTTGGCCGTTCCGTTATTATTCAGTTGTGACGTAGATTTTTTAATTACTCTAATTAGTTTTATCCAATTCTAAAAATAATTTCAAAGTGAGGTTCATTATCTTAAACATGTTTCTTTCTGTTTAATAGGTTTCTTGGATTCGACGACGAGATCTCCATCTTCTTAGTGTTGGCACAGAAACTTACATCAATGAAGAAAGATTTAGCGCCGCCCACGTGGAAGGCACGAACGATTGGCCTCTCCAGATCAAGTATCCACAGTTGACGGACACTGGTCTGTATGAGTGTCAAGTTAGCTCTGACCCCAAAATCAGCTTCTTTGTCAAGTTGAACGTTTTAGGTTTGTTGTTATTAGCTGGTTAAAGCTTAAAAATAGCAATAATGTTATATTAACATCGTTTACGTGTTTTTAAATAGGTTCATTTTGGAAAACAGACAGTCATTTTCCACACACACAAGTCGCACAGTGTATCTTGACCAATATAAGCAGCTTGCTAAACATGAATATAGGTGTGTGCGCGAGGAATATTTTAACCATTTTCATAAATCCTAAAAGTAATTACAACCAAAGAAATAAACATTAATTACGTTATAAATTGTCTGAACAATGTTGATATAGGTTAGAAATTCTGAGCTGGGAAATAAAATCTTTGGTATTAACTGACAGACGAAAGAAATCATATTTCACCATACTTTCTTTACTAAAAGTCGAAACCGTTCCCTAAGAGGTCAGCCAATTATATTTCCCTCTCTTCCAAAAAGAAAAAACAACAAGAACCAACAAACCGGAAACTGAGGACAAAATATTTATTTCCGCATATAGTAATTCCATTTAAACCCAAGTTTCAATTATAAGTCCCATTATGAATGATAAGTATAAAAACTATTATCTACAAACCTTTATCATATTGGGTTTGTTGCCGTTATCAGTACTGCTTAAACTAAAGAAAATATATTGAAATTTATTCACCCAAGTAATAATTTTACATTCTAATGATGCTCAGGAGATTCTCATGGTTACTCCCTGTTTGTTCTATTCGGAAATATGATTTTGTTCAAAGAGGGCTGGATATGTTTGTTTGTTGTAAAGCACAAAGCTGCACAATGGGCTATCTGTGCTCTGCCCACCGCCGGAATTGAAACCCAATTTTTAGTGTTATAAGCCCACTGACTTACAGCTGAGCCACCTGGGGAGGGAGATGCAAGAGGGTAGGAATCTCAAGAAATGTGCTAAAAAAATAAATGGCTTTGTTACCTAAGAATATTCTGAATAAAACCTGATGTTAATTACTAGGGCTCGTTTGTAGCTCATGGTAAAGAAAAGTATTATTCATTCTTTTTTTTAACATTGTTTTTATTTTCTGACGTTAAGCCGACAATTTATTCTGGATTGTGTTACGATATTCATCCGCCTCTTACAATTTGAACCAGTTAAGACTTCTGTTAGCATGTCAAAATGTCGTCCTCAAACTACTACAGCTGAAAGAAGCTAGCCACACCATCCAAAATTAACTTGTAGAAGTTTACTGAAAAATTATATATTTTATAGATATACTTCTTTTTCCCAAAACCTATGTGAAACGATCACAAAATACAAAAAAAAGAATTAATTAAATTTATATTTTCAGAACCAAAGACAGAAATCTTAGGTACGCGCCCTCTGTATGTGAAAACAGGAACTTCTATCAATCTCACTTGTGTGATCAGCGACAGCCCGGAGCCACCAATTTTTGTCTTCTGGTACCACAATGATCGAATGATCAACTATGATACAGATAGAGGGAAGATATCGCTTCAGAAAGGGGAGGAGGATGCTGCTATCAGTACACTTTATATTAAGGATGCTCAACCAACCGATTCGGGAAATTACACTTGTGGGCCTTCCAACTCTGACGCAACTAGTATCTCAGTGTTCTTTCTAAATGGTAAACATGTTTAGGGTTGTAGAATAGTTATTTCAATTTCACCTTTTTAACCCAGTTTTTTTTTTTTTTTTTGTAGCGCACAATTGAATTTTAATTCTCAAATTACCGGGACCCGATGAACAACAACGCCATAGATATTTTCATGCATAAATAGTTTAGAAAAAACTGTTTAAGAAGCCAATGGGTTTTTATGGAACCCTATTGTTAATTCTAGGCTTAAGGAGCAAACTTACTGAAGTCAACTGATAAGTAGGATTAGTTTTCAAGCCGATATTTCAGAACGTTTATAGGAAAACAAAATAATATTAAATCTCCTATTGTCTTTTTGAAGAGATAACATGTCAAGCCTTCTTAATCATTGTTTTTTATTAACTTTCGTACGTTGTTAAGACCTCTTTTTTATCAGTTTTGTTATTAAATTTCATACGTTGTTAAGATCACTTTTTATTAGTGTTGTTATTAACCTTCGTTGAGATCAACTTTTTATTGGTATTGTTATTAACTTTCGTACGTTGTTAAGATCACCTTTTTATCAGTGTTGTTATTAAATTTCGTACGTTAAGATCACTTTTTTATCAGTGTTGTTATTAACGTTCGTACGTTGTTATGATTACTGTTTTATCAGTGTTGTTATTACGTGTGGACAGGATTTAGGAGCAATTTATGGTGTAGATTATGATAATTGTAATGATTAAGTTTGCTATATGATACAATTTTATTTTTCTTGTATCTGGCGAATATCTGTCGTAATGACTGATGAGAACTAACAACCATATCGTAACGACTGATGAGAACTAACAATATCGTAACGACTGATGAGAACTAACAACAATATCGTAATGACTGATGAGAACTAACAACAATATCGCAATTGTTAAACGGAGAAACAAGTTTGCTATTAAGACTTTGATAAATTTAGAAGAAGCAAGTAGGGCGTACTACCATGAGTATTCTAAGTTATGGTCCTCATTGTTTGAAAACACAAAATTCTTCGTTCTACTCCTCATTGTTTGATAACACGAAACATTGTTGTTCTACTCCTCATTATTTGATAACACGAAACATTGTTGTTCTACTCTGTATTGTTTAATTACACGAAACATTGTTGTTCAACTCCTCTTTGTTTAATAACACGAAACATTGTCGTTCTACTCCTCATTATTTGATACACGAAACATTGTTGTTCTACTCCTCATTGTTTGATAACACGAAACATTGTCACAACAGCATCACTTTCGTACATTCTTACGATGTTACTGGCATCCTAATGAAATATTGTGACAAAATAAGAATAAGTGACAGATCGTGAAATAAAAATAATGGTTTACACCACTCTATAGTGTTACCTTAAATGCTATTTTATAGATCTAAATTACCCTAAATGCTGTCATTTAACCTTAAAACAAGCGTTGGGTCTAAGCACTTTTAATGTTGAGTAACGTTCCTAGACAAACATTTTATAAAACAAATTCGAATATATAAGAATTCGTGACTAAAGTTCATTGAGACACCAAAAAGTTCTGATATAAAAGCATGATTGATTATTACTTCAGCAATAAATAGAAGAATGGTGTTCTTTGAACCAGTTCCTGGTATACATTATTTATATTTTCTCCAATACTATCGGAAGTTACTCCAAACATCATTAATAATGTCGCCCAAATAAAGTCTCCTGAACTGTATCAAGTACAGTTTCATCCATTATTTTCAGAATAATATCTACCAGTTAATGACCTAGTTTCACCGAATTTTAGGGCTCTTTGTACACCACTCTAAGCTGCCCAAAAATGAAATATATATATATATATTTAACTTATAATTTGTGTACTAAGATGTGTGTAAAGAAGAATTGTGAAAGGTTGTGTATCGGATGAAATGTTTTTTATAATCTTTGTGCTATCGTGTGTGTAAGGGAGATGCGAAAGATTGTGTATCACATAATGAAAGACACCTGAAATGTTTTTATAATCTTTGTGCTATCGTGTGTGTAAGGGAGATGTGAAAGATTGTGCATCACACAATGAAAGACACCTGAAATGTTTTTATAATCTCTGCGTTATCGTGTGTGTAGGGGAAATTGTGAAAGATTGTGCATCACAAAATAGAAACACTGTAGCTATCTCAAGTTTGAGGAGGAATCTTACAAATAGTTACATGTATTTCTGTTACATATATTTCTTCATAGCAAGAAATAGTATACTATAGGTTTCAGTTTACACAATGACAACTTTAAACTCTGATAGTTATGTGGGATGTAATATATATATATAGCCTTATTTGCGAAAAACGTACAGTGTTCAGTCTTTATCAGTCACAAGCATCCCAGCTGTTGTTGACTGTCAAGAGTAGAGAAACGCGTGGAAGACTCGTGTTGTATCACAACCGAGTTCAGTCTTTAACACAGCAACAAACAATATATTCCGTAAGCAGCGGTGTTTTTGTTACATTTTAAATTTGTTGAAAACTTTCGTGTTTTCAGAAGTTGTTACATTTCTATAAAGCACGAAAGAATACATCATATCAGGAATTAGATATTCCAATATTTATTGAATAAAACTTTTAAATATACAGTGAAGCCACTAATTATTTTCTGAAACATCTTAACTACTTTCTCACCTCTTCTAAAATGATCAGTTGGGCTCTTCCATCGTATTATCCATTTCGTTTCAAATTTTTTGTTCGATTCATGCAACGACGTGAGCAGAAGAAAGATTATTTCCTGTTACTTTAATATTTTATTCATTCCTCCAAAAGAGAATTTGCTTTGTTGCTAATGCTTGAAACTTTGTTTGGTATTGTTTTGCACCCTGCGTAAGGTTTCTACGAAACACTTATTGAATTATTAATAGTTCCTCTCATCCTGCAAAGTTGCAGAACTAATTAAATTTGCAAGAGTTAACAAGGAAAAGTAGGTTCGTTTAGTTCAACATTATCCCTTGAGGGATTTGAAGATTAGATTTCAGAACAACCATAACTGCTTTAGGGTGCGTTCATTGGCTATTGTAAACGGATTTTTTAGTTAAGGAAATTTCATGTTTTAACGCTGAAAGGAAGTTCTACTACGTTTCCAGAACCAAAAAAAAAAGCGTGCAGAATATTACCTTGAACACGATACCTGGTAATTAGTAGCTGTGTATCACTACAATTTGTTTGCTGTTTATGTATGCTCGGTTGTTTTTTTTTTGTCTCTTATAAATTTCATGCCCCCCAGTAGCACAGCGGTATGTCTGCGGACTTGAAACGCTAGAATCCGGGTTTCGATACCCGTGGTGGGCAGAGCACAGATAGCCCATTGTGTAGCTTTGTGCTTAACTTCAAAAACAAAAAAAAAACATAAATTTCAAAGTTTAATACCGAGAAATTGTTAAAAAAAGAAACGTTTAAGAATATTAAATGAACCGTATGATGAATTTACGTTTTGTAATTGTTACTAAAAAATTATTGAATTATCAACAAACTAGTTTACCAAATTATGATCGTTATATAGGTTAACAGTAGTCAACTTGTTTATTTTGTAAACAATGGCAAGTTTATAGATGATAAGGTATTTAAAGTAGCAGAAATCATTTCATAATATTACTACCAAAAAAAAACAACAGGAGACGCTGTAAATCTTAATTAATTCAGTTAACAGTAGTCAACTTGTTTATTTTGTAAACAATGGCAAGTTTATAGATGATAAGGTATTTAAAGTAGCAGAAATCATTTCATAATATTACTACCAAAAAAAAACAACAGGAGACGCTGTAAATCTTAATTAATTCAAATAAGTTGATGAAGACTTTAATGTTTATAACTTCTAAGTTGCGGACTTAATTTGTTATATATTTACATCTTTATTTCACTCAAATTTTGGCCCTCTAGAAAATTCGTATGAAAACGTTATCATAAAGTTTTATTCCCAGAGCTGTGAATTAAAAATATGGTATATTATTTCAAAATTTATGCTTATTTACTCAATATATATATGAACCATTTGTTGTTGTTTTTCTGCAAGAATTAATAAAATTTGATCAGAGGCGAGAATAAGGTATAGAAGGCGCAGCAGCAACGAGATATCGTTAAGAAACTAATTTTCCTAAAACATTAAGTATACGTATGCTAATATTTCTATTTTCGTGCGAAAATAACAACACTTGTAGTTTGGTTCGAGAAACTTTGGAGCTGTAACATACAGGGTAACTTGTGGAAGACTCATTAGCTAGACGTAATTCTGATGTCGGTACACAAGGTGTAAACTTTAGATACCAGACACGTAATTAAGGCTGACGAAATTAATTTGCTAACGTTTTAAATGGAACGTAACTTCATGGGATTAATTTAGTATATTGTGAGTGGAATATAGGTTTTTTTTGGGTGGTCTACGAATATGTTACCAAATTGTGTACTGTCTTGGCTGATAAGAAGCTAATAATTTAAAGTAAATGATGGATGTTATTTCTAAAGAATGTTTAATGCACTATTGTAACCTTTTAATCGAAAGAAAAAATATTTAGAAGAAAATAATAAAACCACATTGTTTCTTAAATATTTCATTATCTATAGGTGAAAACCCAGCTGCTATTCAGAGAGATGCCAGCGTTTCACGAGCGTCCTCTGGTGACCATTTGAAAATTTTGGAATTTTTTCTGTTGGTGTTTCCTTGGTATCTTCTTAGATGACATCCTTATCACTTTCGTCACTTCTGGTTTTGTTATTGTGAGTCAGTACGAAAATGAAAACATAAAGTTGATGTACTCGTGGTTGGACGGCGACATCTGACGGTATATTCTTTACTCTGTACTGTAATCGATTCACTGAAGAGAATTGACATCCGTTGACACGATAGAAGTTTTTTTGTTTCGCCCAAAGATAACAGAGACATAAAAAGCCTAAAATATGTGATATAAATGAATACATATTCGGGTTTATGAATAAGTTAATGCGAAAATCTTGGCACATAAATATTTACTGATGTCGGGAAGAACAATAGCGGATACAGGATGTTTATTTTAGTGAATGTGTGTGTTTCTATGTAAACAATTATGAAGGAAACAAATTACCAGCATAGATTAACAATGAACATACAAACGTACTTAGGTTTCCTCTATTTATTATGTTGATTTTTCCTGTGGTTAATAACTTCATTACCAGAATAGATTAACAATGAACATACAAACGTATTTAGGTTTCCTCTATTTATTATGCTGTTTTTTTCTGTGGTTAATAACTTCATTATCAGCATAGATTAACAATGAACATACAAACGTACTTAGGTTTCCTCTATTTATTATGCTGTTTTTTTCTGTGGTTAATAACTTCATTACCAGCATAGATTAACAATGAACATACAAACGTATTTAGGTTTCCTCTATTTATTATGCTGTTTTTTCCTGTGGTTAATAACTTCATTATCAGCATAGATCAACAATGAACATACAAACGTACTTAGGTTTCCTCTATTTATTATGCTGTTTTTTCCTGTGGTTAATAACTTCATTATCAGCATAGATTAACAATGAACATACAAACGTATTTAGGTTTCCTCTATTTATTATGCTGTTTTTTCCTGTGGTTAATAACTTCATTACCAGCATAGATTAACAATGAACATATAAATGTATTTAGCTTTCCTCTATTTATTATGTTGTTATATTCCTGTGGTTAATACCTTCATTACCAGCACAGATCAACAATGAACATACAAACGTATTTAGCTTTCCTCTATTTATTATGTTGTTTTATTCCTGTGGTTAATAACTCCATTATCAGCATAGATCAACAATGAACATACAGACGTATTTAGCTTTCCTCTATTTATTATGTTGTTTTTTCCCCTGTGGTTAAAGTACAGCTTTGTGTACCAGCTTCTAAAGTGTACTTTGTTGAGCTAAATTAATCCTCATTTAGGAGATTATACTTTATTCAAACTGGTCCTAAAAATCTCAGATGCATATAAATAACACAGTCCCAATGCAACATAAAAATTAAACTATAAATCTTTATGGGTACATTAACTGATAAAACCACTACGTTAAAATTTGACTTTCGAAAGTATAACTATATAAAGTTCTGAATATTCTTAACCCTAGTTTTGTGACTCAACCTGAATTTTAAAACGGCCATTTCTCGTTGCCATTTTTACTAAGGTAGTTAGCCAGAGTGTGCTGGATTCAGGTAAGATTGAATACTCCTCTAAAGATCACTGTTTCTCCATTAAAGGCTTATCTTATTCATCTTCACCAAAACCAGATAATACATACATAGATTCAACTGTGGTAAAATTATCCACTCAGGGATTTGGGTATTTCCTATTGTAAGACCCCTATACTAAATTATAGAATCACTAGCTGGCATTTCGAAGAACGTATGAAGTCAGCTTTGGATAAAATGCCTGTTGATGAATTATTGTTTCCATCTAGAATATCTAACCAATCATATCAGATAATTCATACACTCAGGTAATTTATTTTTGTGTCTCCTCTAGTCAGTCAGTGCATACATTCAGGTTTGATAGAATCCCGCTTTTATAATTTCCAATATTTACTATTAGTTGGGTTAAAATGGCCCTCTTTTGGATTGTTGTACTTTAGACTGTCACCTCTAATTAGTCTGTCCAACTATACTGTGTGCTATGAGCAGAGATAGAATACACAGTTACAGTATTTTTGTTTCTACAGCTGGGATCTATGTTACTCATACAGTTGTTGGTGAAGCAGAACACCTCAGTAAGGGATTGTATGGTTTCCTCCTGTAGTACATAGTCAGACTCTACCTACATTCAGATTGGGTAGAATGCCCCTTTGCTGGATTATTAACTCTTCATATTTCATCTCTAACCAGTAAGCTACAGTAGTGTATGTATTTAGTTGGTGTAAAATACCTCTCTACTGGAGTATTAACTCTTCATATTTCATCTCTAATGAGTATGTATTTAGTTGGTGTAAAATACCCCTTTACTGGAGTATTAACTCTTCATGTGTATGCAGCTAGTGGGCGTAAAGTGCCTCCTTATTGGATTGTTATATGTGTGGCTGACATCATTAATACGTCACCCCAGATACTTCACGTATTCATCAGGGAGTAAAATACCGAATTACTAGATTATGTGTGTCTAGCTGCCATTCCTAAATAGTTTCCTCAAGAACTTTGCCCACCCAGCAGCAGCTGCAAGCCCCTCATTTCTCGATTACAGTATATCCAGCTAATATGTCTACCAACTCATCTGTGGGTCCTGTATTACGACACTGGTTTATTTTACCCCTGAACAAGCAATCTCTAGCTAGACACTACTGTAGTGGTCTGGATTCTCCCTTTATTAACTAAGAACCATGATAAATTAACCCAGTTGCTGAAATTAATCAGTGAATTTACCCTTAGTTTATGTACTTTAAGTTTGTCTTTTATTAATAAGCCTTGGTAATGCATTCAGTCAAATGACACTTTATACACTACAAACAAAAGTACCCGTCCCCAGTGACGGGAACAACTTAAGTTAATCTATCAATTTAAATTATTTCATGGACTTTAAAAAGGTTAATTGTGTTGCACTCTTGGTTTCACTAAGAGTCAAATCTCTGAGCTACTTATACCGCCCACTGCGAAAAATAATTGTTGAACATTTCAGTCATGCTAAGAGCCGCTCAACAATAACATACGATAAATCTACATTTTTATTCTTTAAGTTACGTCACATTTTGAAATGTGAATAATAGTGTGATTAATTCCTAACAAATTAATGTAGAATATCCTGCTTGCGGAATAAAATTTGGCAACAACATTGTTCATGCCTGTTTTCCCGTCATTTCAGAAGTGATTGTTGAGGTTTGCTTACGTGCGCAGCTTTTCAAATGGGAGACAGACGAACGCTCGGACAGACACCACAGTTCACAATATATAGAACATAGTATCTATAGTAGTTTAAACCCAAGCTTTAGATGGGACAGTGTGGCAGGTAAGGTATATCCATTCTACTGACTCTCTATACCACAAAATTTGTGCTAATGTGTCTGTATTTATATATATCTGATGCTTCATATTCGGGCGTTTAAATATCTGCTGTACCTATGAATATCTATAACTTAACAACTAAGCAGCTTTTATCCTGATCACATTGAAGGGTTGATCCAATACATAATGCATTAAAAGTAACCGATGTTTTCTATACCCCTACTTATGTTATCCAACCCGAAAAGTAAGACTGTTCCAATTTCAGTGAAAATCGACTTGACTTTTGTACTTTGAAACTGAAGCTCTTTTCCCCAGTTCAGCTGAGTTACCATGTTTTAATACCAGAACACATAATACTTTTGAAAGTGAGTAAAGGAGTACAAGATCTATTATAATCCATTACTACAGATCTCAAAACTATATTAATACTTGTGTAGTTGGTTTTATGTATGAAGTTTGAAATAATGTCGACAGAGGACGTTTTTATGTTAAAAACTTGCAATAAAAACGAAAAGTCTCTCAATGTTGTCCGTTTTTCATTATCAAAAACGATGACCGCGATTGGGTTATAACAACACATACAGTTATTAAGAACCTGAAATTTTAAACAGCATATTATTTAAGAAGCATATGTTTGGAACGTACAAATCTAACCCTTCATTCCGATATACTTAAAAACAACAAATTTTGTGTTTGGCTTAAAAACCCAGACATAGCAAGTATATTAGGATTGTTGGGAAAAACATATTTTGGCTCTACTTTTTAAATATTATTTTACTCCACTTATAAGCTAATAGTATAAGGGCTAGAGATGAATATTTTCTCATTTTCCCTGTAATTAGAAAATCCTGTGACTGAAATCGAATATTTTATTGTTTCGGCATGCTTTTAAGATTTTGGTTCAGTAGTATGTTGTTGTTTGTAGTCCGAAGAAATATTAAATAGGTTTCACTTTGTCACGTCCTGAAAATTTCGGGTCTAAAATCATTCTCTCTCTATGCTTGAAGCTTAAACATTCTGTTAACATGTTAACTGCGTGTTTTGTTTTCCGCATTCCGTTTAATTTGTCTTTTGCGGCTCGAAATCATGTCAGTAAAAAAATAACATTTCAGTTACTGATGGGTAATAAAAGATGGATCTGAAAAGCTATGTTGTTGTGTTTTTTTGTTGTTGTTACACACCTCTGATTTAGCGTCGTGTGTGTTTGTGTGTTTTCTTATAGCAAAGCCACATCGGGCACTCTGCTGTGTCCACCGAGAAGAATCAAACCCCTGATTTTTGCATTGTAAATCCGAAGACTTATCGCTATCCCACTGGGGGACATTTAGCGCCGCAGTGTACGAATTAAGACTAATGTAGAAAACAACATCTGTAGATAAATTGATTTATAACATTTTTTAAAGCCTATTGGCGTTCTAACCGTAACTTTTAAAGTGCGATACCGCAAAACACAAAATTTGCATGTAACTCCGCATTGATCCAACAAACTTTCATGCCAAATTTGGTGAAGGTCCGTCAACAGGGGACGAAGTAGTGGTAAAAACCGCAAAACTGAAAATTGTGTGTACCCCCGCATTAACCTAATAAACCTCCATACCAATTTTGGTGAAGATCCATCCACATTCCCGAAGTAGTTACGTGGACATACAAAAGACAGTACTATTATATCTATATAGTTGCTGGCACTAGATTTAGGTATGTCTATCTTTGTGTGTAGTCTAGAAATTCTGGTACTGTGTTCAGTATTATCTTGGTTTGTTCTGAAACTAGACTTTGATACTATTTTTTTTACACCGCGTGTAGCATTAAAATTATGGGACTAAAGTCAAATACTACATTTTTTTATTCCATTTGTCGTAAAGTCAGTGTGTGAACAATACCTACCTACCTATTTTGATTGGTTTGAATAACTTACATAAAAATTAATAAAATTTCCTTACTCTCACGATTTTATTTTCTAAGCTTCAGGCCTGTCTCTCCCACTGTTGTCCCCCTGGTGGTTCAGCAATAAGTCAGGGGTTCGATTCTCCGTGGTAGACACAGCATATAACCCAATGTGGCTTTCCTTTAAATCAAACTGTTTCACTGTATATTTATTTATTCATTTAAATTGATATATGTTTAATTTTTGGAAGTGACTGTTTATCCCCAAAACGTGGCTGGGTATGGACTAGTTGTTAGTGTGTCGAACAGTTAATACAGGGATCCACGGTTCGCATCTCGTTGCCGCACTTTAGGACAGTGGATGCGTTATAAGAGTAACGGCAAAATCCCACTATTCGGTTATAGTAAGCCAAGAGTTAGCGGTGGATATTATCTAGTGGTTGCTTCCTTATCAGATCTAAATTAGGGATAGTTAACCCTCGTGTAACTTTGTGCGAATATCTGAAGAAAACAAACAATCTAAGCAACAAGACGAATACTGACATTTTCATAAAATTTACATTCACTTTCAAAGTACCAGAATCTGAGTTCAGTAAAATGTCGTTTTTTTTGTAGTCTGAAGAAGTTTACCATATCCTACCTATGTTCTGAAATTAGGGGGAATGGAGTAAGTGATTATTTACCTCGTTATCAAGTAGAGAAATTTTCATGTTTTTTGACTAAAGAAAAAATGTCTTCTAATTTCCCCGAAAGAGGGCCAAAGGCCATCTGAAGGGGTCATCTATTACGTTTATAAGTATAGTTTAACAATATTAGAAAATAAATACAGACTATATGAAAATGGGGCAGAAATAAAAAACAGTGGTTCTCTATACTGACGATTTGCTTTCGTTTTTCAAGTTCTCATTTGTAGTAAATGTTGATACTTAATTTTCTCCGAAAGGGGCCGCACCACTATACAGTAGTGTGTTGTCAGTCAGTCAGCAGACACTAAAATGGCGTCACATGTACTTTCTAGGCTACTACACAGCATGACATATGAACTTCAAAAAACAAGAAATAAAAATATTCGTTACTCTTAATTTTGGTTTTATTTATTCAAAATACAGAACACTTTCGGAAGTATTTAGTCATAAATTTACTTACATTATACTTCTTATTTTCTACAAATAAAACAGAGAAGTATAAAAACATTTGACCCGAAACACCTCATCAAGGTTAAGTCCTCATAAATACAAGGGATTGAAGAGGGTATCAAGTTTTGTTTACAAAAAACTAACAGCAAAGAAACACGCGGCCATGTTGTTGCATATAGAATAATGGAATGTATTATTCATTAACGATGTCTTCCAATAAACGTAGTTCAGATTTTCTCAGGAATTAAACCTTACCTTTATGTAGATAATTTTTAAGTGCAGAATCGTTTCTTTCCATGGCAAGTTAAGAATGTGCTCCTTATCAAACCTCCTGAGGATTTCGTGTGAGTAATTTCAGGGAAGATTTGTTTTATATTAAAATAAGGTACAGATATATGCAAATATAACAACTAACACAACATATATGGACCATATGCAACACTGATAATCTCAGCAGACGGAGTTTTTCGCGGATGATTAATTGGAAAAGAGAAATGAAATGGAAATCTAAGGTTTATGCTTATTTGTTCTGTACATTCTGAAAAAAAAACAAAAAACGTCGCACTAGTTACTCACGTGTCCTTAAGGATGTTATAAGGTTTCTTTATAAATAACAACTTATATCTATACATAGACTTGCGCTGAACCAGTTATTCAAGTAGAACAGCCTTGCTCGTATTCCTTTGGATTTTGTTTACAAAAAAAAGAAAGCTTAAAGTCAAAAGAAGGACGCGAAATATATTATAAATCAGTCCCTTCCCAGTGGAACTTAAATTTGATGAATAAATATTTATAAAGACTTAAAAATAACTAGAACATTATAATGAATTATCACATGGAAACTTGTTCTAGCTGTTAATATTTTGTTTATCAAGAAAGATAAACAAATAGGACCACTTTTAAACTTCACCTATTAGAATAACGAAATCAAAAATGGTACACCAGAAAGTTGTTTTAACTTGAGCTGAAAAGGTGGATATGTAACAGAAAGTTAGAACATGATTAGTAAAATGTTGATGTAATTCAAACCTTAGATGTTTCTGTTCCAAAACGATTCTCTGCCTTCCCTAACATAGGTTGGGTCAGTTTGAAGGGGTATTTGAAAAATCTATCATGAAAATACTCAGTTCATGTCTGTCCTGTAAATGCGCGCACACTTATTTCAACGGACGTAAACAAAAGGTGGATGTAATTATACTTTAGTAAACATTTTATACAACAACATATTAAAAGTTTATCAAAGTTTTTAAAAATGTTTAACGTTAGGTCGTAAATATCATTATAAGTTTATTTACTGGTAGTATTGCGTACGGTAAAGTTTAGCCCTAACTAAACTAAAATTCATAAACAATTAAAGGGCAAAAAGGAGCTTATTAGCCCATTAAGGATGTCTCTTCCAGCTCCCAACTATAACAACCCCTTACTACTCGTGTATTCATAAAATCTTTTCTTGAACTCAGTTAAATTTTCTGCCTCCACCAACCTTGAAGGCAGCTCATTCCAAAAGCCAATCACCCTGTTTGAAAAATAATACTGTCTAAACTGCAGACGACTCCTACGCTGCAAAAATTTGAGTTTATGACTCCCTGCCCTATTGTTTTCACTGCTAAACACAAAAAGGTTTGGTGGATCTATA